TCTCTCTTTTTTTTGATGAACAATCAATGTGTTACAGTTTGGTTTTTATTTTTGTAAGACCAAAATAGAAGAAACACTCTGAACTAAATAAGAAAGTTGTTTTTGTTTCATTTTGCTGGACAGTTTTTGAAAGTACAAAACAATAGAATTTATTGTTTTTTTTTGGTCATTAGTTCAATTATTGGAGAGTTGCCAAAAAAAATATTGGAGGTTATCGGTCATTCGATTAGAGTGCAGAAATTGAAACTTTTATGGATGGGAACAGAATTATATATGAACAGATTATAAAACCATCAAATTGATATCAGTTGATCGTCGTCCATACAATTTTATAATATCATCGCTTCTTCTGTCTGTATTTTTTTTTTTTTTTGATAATTTTATTTTTTTCTTTTAGTTTTTTTTTCATAAATAGCAACAGTAACGACAATGTTTTCAAAAAACAGTTCAGTGCTTAGCGTTGACAAAATAACCACAAATTGAGAGTATTGAATTGTTATTTAACTAAACGACATACATTAAAAAACAAAAAAAAAAGCAAGCAAAAAACAAAAAGACCGAAACACTAAATTATTTTTGATTATAAATATCCACAAAAAATTAAATCTTTTTGTTTTGGTTGTTGTTAAATTATTTAATTCGTCGATAGAATCGTTTAGCATTAACATCACCACTTTCCATAAGTACAATCAACTGATCACCTTCCACCCAACGTGTAATCACTGAATCTTTATCAGTATCCTAAAAAAAAAAACATTATATATACATTTATCAAAAAGAAAAAAAATGAATAAAACTGATAACAGTGAGAAGAAATAAAGTGTAGAAAAAAAATTCATAAAACATTAAATTCCAATTATTATTCAAATTTTTTTTTTATTTTTTTTATATTTTTTTTATGGACTATTTACATCAAAAAAAATTTTTTTGCCTACGTTGTAACAGATAAATAGCAAAAAAAGAAAACTGCTACTGTTTTCAAAATTCAATTGTTTTTTTACCCGTATTTTTGTTTCCTTCTCGATCAATTTACCATTTTCGTCCAAATGAAACAAAAATTTATATGGACGTCCATCAATTGTTTTTGATTGAAACTCTTTGTCCAGTACAAATTTTATTTCATAGTTTTTAAATGTCGAAAATACTTTGATTCGCCATTGATCATTCTGTAAAGTATAATCAAAGAAAAAATTGCATAAAAGTTGAAACACTGACAACAACAATAAAAATATCTATAAAATCTTTTTCTACATTATTACAACAACAGTAATAGCAGTTAGTATCAGTAACAGTTAAA